AAATAACGCTAGTAACCCTTTAAATAACCATTTTCTCTACTCGTTTCGCTCACTAGACCTTAAGATTTGTACAATCATTTGTTGTTTCTTGACTTCGAAAGTTACGTTATGTTGCATCGAAAATAAAAAGTATTCAATTGAAAGACCCTAAGGAATCTCATTGTATTAACGCAGATTTTGCTTTATGGATTTAGTTCCAGATTCTATTGGAATGAAGTTTAAACTTAACCAGCTTGCTTGGTTACCATTGCAACTGTATTCACAAACTCTTTTTAAAATCACTGGTTTAATTTTCAGTTACTATAAAAACGCGGAAAATGCTTTGCTCTAAAGAGATCATTTAGAAATTGCAAACTTGCAAGCGTCACGAGTGTGTCAATCAAGCTCATCACATAAACGTGACGTTTTTTTACAGGTATTCAAATGAATTTAATCCTAAAATTGCTTCAGAGGGATAATAAACACGGGTCTTAAAATTGTAACATTAACACGACATGCACAACCATGCAATTCGACACATTTATGTGATTAGTTGCAAGTTCTCAATTGTAGGAAAAGATGGTTTGAGGTAGTATCTCGTAAAGACCATTTCCTTCGCACTACTCTATCTCATTTACGCTTTTTCTCACAACTAAAATCTTATATCAGCTTCCCCACTGTGAGCAATGTTTTCTCAAAATTGTGTAAAAATAGTTCCAAAATAATTAATATTCGAATGTGAAAGTACCATATATTCAAAATTGAAACAGAATATACTCAGTTTTGAGCAAAATGTATATGGAAGGAAAAATCTGTGTGAGAGTTGTTCGCTATATGTCAGCAGAATTCGAACGAGGGATTTCCGTGCTTATAGCAAGATGTTATGCACTCACTATAGTTGTACGAACCTGTCCAGAGAGAGTTAGAAAGCTGTATATGGTTTCCACCGAAATGACACAACATTCCATTCGTTTAAAAGCTTATAAGATGCAGCAAAATAAGCAAAAACAGATATTACCGATCCCCTGACTAAGCCATTTGGCTATTTGAACCATATTTTCCAAATAGTAACCCTTTGTACATTTGAAAACAGAAATTAGTATTTTAAGATGTGCTACATTGCAGGGGCTATCATATAAAGAACTATGAACCCAGAGTTTCCAGGTTCGAACCCTGCCGGCAGCCGAAGAACATCTCTCTAACATATTTTTCTCCCCAGGTGTATTTTTCTCAAAAATGAATGTATGCTCTTTTAATTTTGACGTCATTGTGTTTTTAAATACGACTATCATTTGTTTTGGAGCTACTTTGACACATTTTTGTTCAATTTTCGAAATCCTCTTTTCACTGTGTACATATAATATACAGTCAAACCTCGATATCTCGAACTTGAAGGGAGAGGAGAAAAAATTCGAGATACCGAAAATTCGAATTATCGAAAATAGCATGTTATCGATGGTATAATGAAGAAAAATGCTCTTTACATACCTTATTTACTATTCCATATTTATTCTAAAAACACTTTTTACACTTAAACAGATTCAATTGTTGTTTGCTTTAGAGATGTGTAAGAAAGTTTGTCTATTACACTTTCTAAGTGGACTATTGCTTTAAATGTCTTCTCTGACATATTCAGCTGCCTCTCAATAAATCTCCTTACAGTGTCTACTGCAGAAAGTGTTTGTTTGAGAATTGATTATGATTATGAAAATTGACTTTCCATTCTTAAAAAAAATTTTTTTTGAATATTTTTTTATTTTCAGGAAACAAATCTACACTATTTATGGAAAAAAAATTCAAGTTATCGAGGGATTAGAAAAAAAATTTCGAGAAATCAAGGTTTTTTTAACATTGACTGTATAGGAAATTTGAAGGGAATTTTTTTTTCTTCGAGATATCAAAAAATTCGTGAAATTGAGGTTCGAGTTAGCGAGGTTCGACTGTATATCTATGTTATCTTTAATATATATATATTGCATATCTATAATAATATATTCTCTAGAAAGCAAAATATTTCAGGAAATGACATCGCAAAACCTTACAAAATATGAAACATTGTTTCTGACAAGCATAGTATTTTATTAATCATTGTAGCAATGGACCCTGCAACTTTAAACTAATAATGACAAAGAGTATATGACTACTTTAAGCTAGGCATGTCTAAAATAATCCACTTGAAAGAGAGAGGGAAAAAAACTGTTTAAAAACTTTTCCAAAACTGACGTAAACTTCTAAACCAGCCATTTAAATTTCGCTTTAAACTTAAAGTATATTTTATGAAGAGAAATTTCGTTCGATGTTAAGAGAGGATATGAGTTTCCAGAGTTAACCTCTTTGACAGATGAAGTTTTAAGATAGACTCAAGACTCCGGATCTACTTCCATTTCTTCACAATAAAACTGTCAGACATGATAAATTATCCTTTTCCTTTCACTTCCAAAGACTGCGTATCTTGTTAAAGGAAAAGGCTTCCTCTACAAGTTAGACTTCCTCTTACTTCTAGAATACTTTCGGGGAACAGAGTAATTCCTTTTTCGAAACTTGTTATTTCCCCCACAATGTAAAAGGTGATTTCTTTTTTGTTTTAGTTTCGATTCGAGGAATAACAAAATAAGATCAATTTTTGATGGGGCAGACGAGTGAAGCTTTGGAAATTTCGAAAATGTCCTTGGAAATATGCAAGTTTGCAGGAATATATAAACTGTCGCAGTATTAAAATATGGATAAATGCATCCTCGCTTTTATGAGATATAAAATAAAATTCGCTCTAAAATTTTAAGGAAAGTAAAGATTTTTAATTCATATTTACTAGTGGAAAAGTAAACTAATATTTTAAGACACTATGAATAAAATTTTAATTTTTATGAAAATAATATACAAACAAATTTGGTGATCGTAAAGCTGTCGACGTCAAAAAAAAAAAAAAAATCAAAAAAAAGTTATAGTAGCGTATGTTTAGCTGTGTTTTACTTAGACAACTAGTTATTACCCCCAATCTTCAAACTTGACTCCGGGGATAGAGCACTCGCCATCGAATGATGTGATCCGGGTTCGAATTCATGTGATGGCTCGCTGATACGAACTCCGCACCTGTCTCGCACCGACCACAATTCTGACGTAAAATATTCTGATGTCATGGATCATGGGTTCGAGTCTCCTTGCCGCCAGGCTATCTTGGGATGTTTTCGTGGTTTTCCAATCCACGCAACGCAAGTATGGACTAGCTCCATCAAAAAGTCCTCCATAAAGGCAAATTTCTGAGAAAACTTGATTCAGGAGTTCCCTTGTCTTCTGGATGGAGTTCAAAATTACAAGGCTACGGAGTTGAACATTGGTAATCGTACAGTCAAAATTGGGACAGCTATTCAACTACGGTTATAAAATAAAGTAAAAATCTTCAAACATATTTATAAGTTCGCCAATAGATGGCGCGTGCTGTTGTTCGGAAAAATATTCAATCATATTTTCTTCTGCATGTCAACTTGTTTCAGCTTAAACATTTACAGTTTCGATAGGTTTAGAAAAAACGAGTAAATTTCAATTAAGTTTATGTGTAAAGAGAGGAGTTTTCACTTTAAAGAATTATTAATTTTTTATTAATTATTCTTTTGGATGGCTTTATTATAAATAGATCCATTAAAAATCATTTGTAGAGGTATAAGAAACCTCAGCTAGACTTCTTTTCATAAATTTACTTTTTTGGGGTATAAATAAATAAGTCAAACTCAACAAAATACAAACATGCTCTTAACTATAGTTCAAGAGAAATCCATCGTTTTAGAATACTTCGTGAAAAAGTATAAATAATTATAATTTTTGAAAGGTTCGTTTTGGATAGTACAATTTTTTTTCTATCATGATTGGGACGTAAAATGTGAGGAACTGAAATTTAAAACTATGTTCTTTGTAAGTTTTTCATCTAGAAAAAGGGTTAGCATAAATATTTTATTTTCATTTATTTTTTTATCAAATTTTGCTAATACGTTAACAATACTATTTCGGACAATACGCAATACACTTAATACGTTACACAATACTACTTGGAAGTCCTTGTCCACTAAAGTATAATATTGGTTTTTGCTGAAGCTTGTTTGAGTTCATATTCATTGTAAACAGCGTTACTGCACAACCGATTCCAAGACTTTAAGGAAACAAGACTTTAGCAACGTGGTAGGCCATGTGTATTTCTTACTTATATTATAGTAAGATGTGAATTTCTGAGAATATAGATATTAAAACAATACAGTAGTTATTTTAAGATTACTGACTACAAAAAATTGAAACATTTTATTTAAAAAAATCAAAAATCATAAATTGCAACCATAAGAATCAACAAATAATAATTGCAACCATAAGAATCAACAAATAATAATTGCAACCATAAGAATAACAAAGGAAAAAAAAAGATATTAATGAAAAAAGTGGTATTATTAAAAATTAATAAAGCGATGATATTTCAGCCAGCTTATTGACTTAATAATAATTTTAAAAGACAAAAAGGTATATGGACGCTAAAAAAAAGAGTTAAACATAAGATATATCAAGTAAGAAATTAGTCTTATAGGTAATTTATTGCAGAGTTGCCATCAGAGAAGATGTATTTAGAGTGATCTAAACCTATAAATTATGAGCGATATTAGACAATTTTGTATTAAACGAACTGAATGGCTGAAAAACTAAAATGATTGTCTAAATTAATGGAGGAATAGCCAAGGTCTAGTTTTAGTATGGCTATCAGGATTAAAAGTACACTGCACAGCTTATCTCTAGTGTATTCTCCACATGCGCTAGCCTGAAGGAAGGTAAAAGGCCCTACTTTACGATAAAAACCTTCATAGTTTAAGAGCATTTATTATCATCTTCAATGATAGAGGTCATACTGTAACATTTAGGCTGTTCTGTTCTTTCTAAAATTATTATATTGTTATAAAAGGTAATGAAAAAAATGTAAACATATTTTTGAAAGATAAAATGAAACGATGATTGTCAGTTTATTTAAAATTCTTTATTTATCATTCCAGGTGATCAGAAGTAGATTATCCAGTCTTAAAAATGGCTACTGACTGCTGTTATTGGGATACATTAAAAAATACTTGAGGCGTTGATATAATCAACGATGTCTTCGCTGCCCACATTAGATGACTTGCATTCGAAAGCCAGGATATCCAAGGATATCTACCAAAATCCATACCTTACACTAGACGTAAAGCTTCATCCAAATCCATCGAGTCAGGTCTTTGCTAATTGTCCTCAGAAACCTGTGCTCATAACGCCTGAACAAAATGTGCATAAATCCAGAGGTTTCTTTAAAAATTGTACAGCAGCTTTTCAATGTAGCAGGTACTTCTTCTTTGAACTAAAATGAAAAACACTAATTATAGCATTAAAATAGTTTCAAATAATCCCCCCCCCAAAAAAATCAATTTACATTATGAATATTGCAATCATATGTGTTTCCATAATTATATTTCGTTTAAATTTCAACATTACATTTCCTTTTTCTTCACATGTTTTCAAACCTTATATGTTAAATGAATGAAAGACATAGAACGTAAATTTTGAGAGAACTTGAAATATTAAAACAGAAAATGCAAGGTTTGAAAGGTATCAGCGTGCAATTCATTTTGGTATCTTAAAAATTTTGAGATTCTTCTTCTTATTCATTTATTTATTGAGTCAATTAACTTAACTAGTATACAGAATAATTCAATAGGTTTCATTGATTTTGGTTTACGGAAACCTAGTAAAAATTGTGGAATACCAAATTAAAATATCAAATTATGGTTTATAATAGAGCAGTTTGAGTATTTTGCTAATTATTTACTATATAAACATATCAGGTTTTCATTTTGAGACATTTTTGAACCATACTTTTTTTTTTGTTTTAGACATATCGATACGTCACTGACAAAAGCAGAGTTTGTAATCAATTGTTTTTTTTTATTGCGCATCATTAAAGGGACTATAAATTTAGTTGCCGGGGCATGTAAGGAAAAGATATTTACACAGAATTAAAAAAAACATACCCTGCTGTTTAATTCGCAAATTTAAGTATTAGGAATATCATATTCATCTTGTTAAGATATCTGAATGCCTTCGTTAATCCAGATATCTTTAAATCAGTGAACTTAATGTTTTAGCATCAGATTAAAGATTTATCTTCATCTCTTCAATCGTATTTAAATTTTATTTCTGTCTCAACTAGAGTAGAAGATATTATAACTTAAAAAAAACCTTTAACTATGGGTCTAGATTGCAAGGCGTTTTCTTTCATTATTAAATTTAAAAATCAGTTATATTGTTATTTTCTAAATTTTTTAATGTGATACCTTTAATCATGTAAGTCCCATTTACTTTGAATTTTGAAAAAAAAATTCTTTACGCTTATGTTTAAGAAATATTACTCACGGTTACTCATCAAACTTTTGCTTTGTATTTTGTCGAAAAATAAGAAAAAAACTTTTAAATTTTTTTTCCACAAATTATGTTGTGGTATTAGCTGTAAACAATTTAAAAATTATTATGTCTAATGAATTATTTACAGATACGATGAAAAGAATTAAGTTAAAACAAATAATTATCTATGGCAAAGTAAATAATTATATATGACAAAGTTACGTTCTTTTAAAGAGTGATAAATTATTTTATTTACTTCATTATTATTTTAATTTTTGACCACGCGATTAACATCCTCTTCACAGTTTGGAAAAAATTTCTTTTCCCACTTCAATGCATTTATTTATTATTTCAGTACATTAGATTAAAACTAAAAAATAAACATCTAAACTGAGCATTTTAAAATTCAGTTTCTGAATGATTTTCTTTTAATTGAAATGCGAATTTCCTCCATTGTTTTAACAGTATGCTTCAATGAATAGAAGTTAGAGTAAGAAAAAACAATTCTAAATTTAAAATATTAGGGTGACCGGAAAGTAATGTCGTTTCGGTGCATTAGATATTTGTTATCAAGATTTTATTTTTAATCAATAATGTATTCACCCTCGTTACCTTTAAATGCTCGAACGAAAATGAATCGAAAGAAATGAATTATATTTTGAGACTAACGAATATTTAATGGGCCGAAATTACATTACTTTCCGGCCACCCTAATATTACAACCTTTGGTGTTAAGGATAGTTAGTGATAGGTTGATTAAAAAAATACAACTTAGTTTAATGTAATTTTCAGATCCAGCTAAAAATTTCTCGAAAACTCTGTGTAACACATACTTTTTACAAAATACCAGATTCTGCAGTCATAATGAAGATTTTATCAATCGGTTCCTTAAAAAAGGAAGAAAAAAAAACTTATTTTTAATTACAACATATTATATTTTATCTAGCAAATAGTTAATTGAACAGAGTTGGTATATTTTTACATTAGAAGAAGATGAATTTAGTTTATTTAGTTATTTACTGAATTTAGTTATAGCAAAATGGAATATATTTTTAATGTACACAATTCAAACATAAAATCTCATATAAAATTTTTGATATGATTATATATACTTATTTTACGGTCTTATGTGATGTTTGTGTTTTAAATCTATTAAATATCCATTAAAAGCATATATATCATATTAAAACTTAGACGTTTACTCCTTTCGTTGCAGACTAAAGTCTGGTCTTCCTACTTATCGTCCTATCCATAGACAGATTCCTTCATCACCATCACGCATAATCACTACTTGGCGACAATGGACCACGGTCCAACAAACATGTTTTCTATCGTCTCTCCTCTGTACTGTAGGTGTCACCTTTTGGGTTGGAATATTTTTTGTCACAACATCAAGCACGTCCACCATTAATCATCATGACTCTGAAAGCCATCATTGGTACAAAGATGCCGTATTCTATGAAATCTATCCAGCTTCCTTCCAAGATACAGATTCTGATGGATACGGTGATTTTCAGGTATTTTGAAATGATATGGGCACAAGTTACGTTGCATAGTAATTTTTAAACACACTTCAAGATCGATTCTGACTTTAGATGATCTAGATGATGATGATGATTAGATCTAAATGATTAGACCATGCCGTGTTGAGTGTTAAACTCAACTAGTAAGCCTAAATATGTAATCCAGTTTCAAGGGATTGTTTATTTACTACTATACAATGCATTAACATGATTAATACATAGAAGATTAACTTCATTCGTTATTATAAATAATAATCGGCTAAAGTGATAAATTCGCTTAAATTATTCAGTTTAACCGGCTTATTTGATTATTATTAATGTTGACTGGTTATTATTAATAATAACCGACTATTCACATTGACCGCAACATATATATCTTTTCTTACATCAACGTCTTTGTAGCTCATCGCATATTTTCAAATAAAATTTTTCTCCATTTTGACGTTTTGAGCCATTTTTAAATTAAGCATAGACAGCGCTGCCTTTAGATAGTCTAAACTTGACCTACCAGTCATCAGTAACAGTTGTAAACACACAGCAGTTGTAAAAATAGCACATTATTCGCAAAAAAGCATAATTTCATATTACGACGGAGCCTTCGAAAAACAACCGTACGTTAAGTACGGTTGTTTGTCGAATAAAAATACGACAAACGTGAATATGGTATACGGGAATATGGCAAACAAATCTTACTTTAAGTACGATGGTATCAGATGGGAATAGTAGGATGAAGCTTGTTAAGAAAGTCTTGGTCTGCAGTGCGATTGGAGAAGAAGAAACATATTTCAAGTACATTTTTGTTGTTCATCTATTAATTTTTTATTAAACTTTATTTTTGCTCAATTTTTACTGTTGGTTATATGGTATTCGTTTTATGAAGCCTAACAATTATGGATTCCGTGACAAATTATCAAAGGTAATTTTGAATTATCATAGAAATATATATAACTCAAATCGTAATATACATAAATTATAAGAAATTTATGCAAATCAAATGTAAAAAAGGATGTATCTGTTGCATTTTTTGAGCTTCATTTTAAAAAGTGTATCACCATTCATACAAAGCTAGATTAAAATACATAAATATCCAATGAGCGAAGGAAGCAAACTGACACTGTGAAACAATCTGAAAGGAACTGCAAAAGCAGTTTTGGGGATTTGTGAGCGAGTTCCTAGTTATATCAATAATTAATTTTTCGTCAAATGTCTGGTCTGATATAATAAATACTTATCGGATTAACATGAATTTATTTACAGTATTTAAATAGTATTTTGAGCTTTTTATTATAATGTTAAATTTTAGTATCTCAAAGCATTTAATAAATACAACGAACAATAACCATAGAAAACCATAGGAACACAAAGAACAATTACCATAGAAAACAAAGGTAAACACGTAATTTGCAGAAAATATTTTTCTTGAATCGATACAGTTTTAGTTCTAAAAGTATATATACTTTTCATTATTGATTAAATTTAAATTTTTAAAATTTTAAATATTTTCAATTGTTTTCAAATGAAATAGATGACTTTGGTTTCTTTTCTAGGGTATCATTCGTCGGTTAGACTACATTCACAATCTTGGCGTCACAGCAATACGCCTTAATTCCATATTTAGTGCTCTTGACTATCCACTAGAATACGAACACATAATTGATTTGCATAGTGCAGATCCTCACTTGGGCCGGATAGAAGATTTTCGCCAACTTGTCAAAGAAGCTCACAGAAGGGGAATGAAAATCGTATTAGATCTCAATCCAACTGTCACTAGCGATCAGCATACTTGGGCATTGCATTGGGAAAGAGGCATACCTGGATACGAGCACTTTTATGCATCTCATAATCGATCAAAAGTATGTAAGAGATTTTGAGTCAGATTTCTATTATAATTTAATGAAAATTCTAAAATTCTTACCTTATATAAAATTATTTCATTATAAATGAATTAATTTAGAAATTAATTCATTCTTTTCTACATAAAATTAACTAAACATATATAGAATAATTGATTATCGATCAAAAGTATGAATAAAAAAAGGATTTTAATTCAGATTTCGATTATAATTTAATGAAAGTTCTAAAATTCTCAACTTATATAAAATTATTTCATTATAAATTAATTAATTTATTAATTCATTCATTCTTTCCTGCATAAAATTAATTAAACATGCATAAAAGAATTGATTATCGATCAAAAGTATGAATAAAAAAAAGATTTTAAGTCAGATTTCTATTATAATTTAATGAAAGTTCAATAATTCTAAACATATATAAAATTTAACTATTGACTAATTTTGCCAAGTTTCCGTTTTTATTTGTAATAAAGTGATGCTGAAATAAATTTAATGCAATATGAAATAAGCGCAATGACACATGTACATTTATATAATCTTTTCGGAAAAAGAGTTTCAACTCAATTGAGAAGAAAAAACAACAAGGATAAGAGGATTTACCAATAGGGTAAGAGAACAAGATCAAATAAGATTATCAAAAAAACTTTGAAATCAGTTTCCACGTTGTTTTAACTTTATTTAAAGTATGGGGATAATCCGTCTTAATTTGCCAAGTGTTCATTACATTAATATTTACCAAATGAAGATTGAATTTCATTGCGTTTGTTAACACTCATTATATTATATGTCTATTACGTATACTATCAGTACAAAAATTCATTTCTGTTCATATTAATGTTAACGTGTTTGCAAAACTGTTTATCATAGTTTATAGTGAAATTAGTTTCACTTACGTTTAAAAATGAAATTATAAATTAATTAGGGTATAAATAAGTAACATTTATAGAAAACCTTGTAGATCATCTTTTATATTCATAATGATTAATAGTCACCCTAAAATAATTTTCTATACTAGGGATAAGTTAATTAAAATTCATCCAAAATCTTATACCTCTACTTACTATACTTAAAAAATAAATTTTGGAAAAATGAGGAATTTTCTTCAATTAAAATAATAACATTAATAGACAATAACGCAAAATTTAAAGGAAAATAATTGTATTTAGTTTAAAATACTTGAGTATATTTTAGTACATCAAAGTTGATATATGTTTTTCTGGTGCAATTGTTCTAACAAACTAGTAAAAGTTTAGTGATGCTGCGGTAAAATTACAGCATTATTACATATTATACTAAATCATTTTAAACCTGAAAATTTTTAATTTTAGGTTTTTTCTTAATTCTAAGTCAAATTTTTGCTTTAGAAAATAATAATAATCTGTCAATATTTCAATTGTATTCAAGTGACTTAATGTTATTTATCGTACTTTTTTAGGTGATGAAAGTTGTAAAGTACAAATACGAAGAAAAAAAAATTTAAACGAAAATTATATTTCTTACGTTATATAAAAAGAAACGTTTCGTACAATCTTTCCTAACTTGAACAATATCAAAATTGCACTGTATCACTACCAATTTTAAAAAAAAGAAGGATTATTTTTTTAATTTTGGTTACAAAAATCGCACTTTGAAGGTATAAGACTACACGACACGGTAAAAAAAGCTTTTTTCGAAATTGAGCAATTTTGAGATGAAATTCGAATTTGAATACCGCATGTATACAAAATTGAAACAATATATCTTCATTTTTGAGTGAAATGAGAAGGGTAAAATTCGTTGGCTGACAACAGAATTCGAAACAAAAGACTTATGGGTTCATTGTATGATGCTCCGACCACCATAGTTATAAAACCTAGTGCAGGAAGAGGTAGGAAGCTTTATGGATGCCACCACAATGGCACATCATGACATCGTAATTTCGAATTTTAACGTTACAAATGGTTGCTATTTGGAAAATATGGTTCCAATAGCTTAGCCAGAAGATCGGTAGTTTTAATTTCGCTTTTTGAATATGTTACTGCATCTTAAGTACTTTTAAGCGAATATAATATGTAAAGCTCCCTAACTATCTCTAGGTAGGGCACTGCAACTATAGTGGAGCATCCTACTAATCACACAGAGGTTATTGGCTCGAATCCTGCCAGTAGACAATAAGCTTCACACTTCATTTCACATTTATGATTACGATTTTTGCTTTTTCTGTGGAATTAAAATAACAGAAATTTAACGGATAAAGAGTCTTCTTAAATGAACTGCTCAACTTCAGAAAATTAAAACATACAATTATGAAAGTGCATTAAAATAAAAATTCATTTAGTTTAAGTAAATTATTTTAGTGAGTTCTGTTATTAATTTCATGGTCAGGCAATATTTAACCAGGAGTAAAAAAAAATTTCTTCATGGCAATATTTTTCTTAATTACTTCTTTTTACGCCCCACATATAGTTAAGAAAGTTCGTACTTAGAAGAGACATTAATATAAAAAAAATTCCTTAATTTTTATTAATTTTCTATCATATCGTACCATCAATTGTTTTTTTTCAATTAAACTGATGGTTCTGCGAAAAATCTTTTTAAAAGAAAAATTGTTAAGGAAAAAAGCAACAACCATAAAAAAACACGTTACTTATAAAATAATCATACAGGGAATGAGTAAATACAACAAGAATGGGACAGCGCATTACATGCATCAAAGAGGTACCTATAATTAGTGGCCTATTACGGAATAATTAAAAAGTTTTAAATCTTATGTACACAATGTTGTGTTTAAACTTATTAGGTATCAACGCCGTGGCTTCGCGTCTGACAAATATCATTGTAAGAGCTTTTTAAATTTCTGTGGTAGATACAAAACATTTACTTTGTACTAAATGCCTAAGTGCTAAAAAACATGAAGATCTTATGGAAACTGGATTTTAGTAAATATAGTTAATATTTTAACAAAATGTATGGTTTGATAACATTATTAAAATCCTAAATGAACTCGATACTCAAATTTGAGAACGTATATAAATAATTTACTTTATTTGTGTTGTATTCCTGTTCCTTGCCTAGGTTTGAAAAATATTGGAAATAACTCAAGTTACAGTCTTTGTTTTTCTGATTAATCTAAAGTCTCAATGTGATTTATTTTAAGTAAACAATATTTTTAATTAAAGTAGTGAAGATTACGTATGCAAATTAGTACGTCTTCTAAAACAATGCCACTTTTAGGCTCATCATATAAAATAACAGTTAATAGATTCTGATGAATGAATTTTTGGCACTTTCTTTGATTTGTGTCATTGCACACACGAACTTTTATCTGATAGTTATATTTTCATACGCATAAGAATTTTCACTTGCTGCTTCAGGCCATTGAAAGTATCAAGGAGAGTATAGCAGTAGATTTGAATAACGTACAGATAAAACATTTTTGTTTAAAGTTGAAGTCTGTGCTTCAATTTTACAGAAGGCTAACAAGTTGAAATAATGAGATAGATAGAAATATGAAATAATAGTTCGACAGTTGAACTAAATTAAAAAGAAAAAATAGTGATTTTATTAATATTAAAAAAATAAAATCTCCAAAAGTGGGATTTTCCGTTTTTGCTTTTGAGGGAGAGCGTTAATGAGTTAGCTGAATTGATACTGATTTTAGCAAAGACGGTACAAATTTACATACTCTTCATTTCTCAATGCGTGCACTGAGCAAAAAGTATGGTCAAAACTGACAAGACATGGTACAATTTACTGTGTTTCTGGCAGAATGGGAACGCCAAAAAGGACGGTAATTTCTACCGATGAGCTTTGGTATAATTAACAATAAAATATTGTTTTCCAATATGTGATAAAATTTGGTAAATGCAGTAAAATTTGGTAATTTTATCACGATACTTTAGAGCATGGCATAAAAATCATTTATTCGGTTAAATTTTCTTTTTAGTTTTGCATTTTTTACTAAATGTGTTGTAATAAGAACTTAAGGTTTGAAAGGCACCCTACCTCTTCTGATCTTACCTATCTTGAACTTTACTCCCTGAAGAAATCCCAGCTTCTCAGAGACTGGTTGATTCCTCCCACACACCATTGGTACAAGGGAAATAGGCCTGGAGCTTCTTTGACCCTTCCCTTTGAAAGGAGAGTCTGCACCACCATCTCCTACCTAGCTACCGGCCATCTTAAAGGTTTTCTATTTTCCGAAGGAACTAAAATCCACCCCATCTGCCCTAAATGCCATCATACACCGGGCTTCCACCGATCACATCCTGAACTGTCTTGGTCTTCTCTGGGAAGACATTTACTCTAGTCCTCTTTTGGTATTTGATTTTCTTCAGGTCAACGGGTTCATAGATCTGGTCTGACTTCGTCAGGCCAGAAGAGGATAAGCAACAATAACAAGGTTTGAAAACCAGAATTTCCGGTATGCCATAACCATACGAATGGAAAAATTCCGAAATAAATGGTTTATATACCGTATATTTTGTTTTATTTAAAAGAATTATAGCTTTTTCTTTATAAAAAAAAGTCATTACCTTTCAATACAGTATTTTTACCAGAATATTTTTTCTCCGTGTAGGATCCACCAGAAATGGAAAGCACAGATGGTCCCCCACCAGAGGACTGGGAATTACCCCAAAGGACGTTTGGTGGTCACTACATAGTTAATTGGTCCAACTCTTTTGTACAAAAAGAATATCAGCGAGCTATGGCTCATTGGATTGATACTGGCATAGATGGATTTTACATGAAGCACTTAGACAAGCTGCATGTACTGAAAACTGAAGACGTGGTAACAGTTCTTCGCCAATGGAGATCAGAACTTGACAAAACAACAAACACCTGCTCAAAACATAAACATTATACAAAGCGCATTCTCATCGTCTCATCACAATTTGTAGATAGTCTTGAAAGTCAGACAAAACAACGTCTGTTTCGCTCAGAAGTGTTGAAAAACATTGATTTAGTGGATTTTCCAATACTATTGGGAAAGGAAAAGAAAATGCTGAACCTAATATCAAACATCAGAAAAGTGTCTGATTGGCCCAAAATTTCACCAATTACGATGTGGCATTTGGGTAGTTCTGATACATTCAGACTGGCATCTAGGATAGATGAAAGATACAGTATGGCGGCGTTTTTTATGCTAATGACTTTGCCCGGTGTGAGTTCATTGTTTTATGGGGATGAAATTGGATTAAAAGACAGCGTGGATTCTTTCAGCAATAGAGTAGGTACCCATATCATTTTCCTTATTTATGTATTCAAGAAAAAATACTAAATAAATAATTGCTTCTACTTGTATATTGCTAAGCTAGCATCAATGGCTAGCATTCACAAATAATTCTCGGGCTAAAGTTACGAAGTGGAATTCGGAATTGTTCTGACTTTAAGAAATGCATGATATGCTAAATGCGCTTAACATTTACTTTTATTTCTCTTGAAATGACGCAACACATAAAACAGATTTTAACACAAAACAAAACGAGACGATGCAATACATATATTTACAGGAAGAGGACAAACTTAGAGGCTGATAATGAGCTACTCAATATCAACAGCGCCAAAGCGCAATCTCGAACCACTGTGCGAGACTTTCAAACAGCGTAATGCGATAGCACTGCTTTGAGGGCAAACCATGCATTATATTTATAATAATAATCTATTTGGTGGAAAAAACTAATAACAAAAAATATCTTATACACAATTTATTTTTATAGTTTTGAAGTCGTTGTTTTAGACTCGTAATGACATGTATTCTACTATATTATAAGGCTATGGAACGAAACTAATTTTTAGAAGAAAAAAATATTTTTAACACTAGAAAGACGGAAACTTTGTATATACCTACATTGCCCAAAAGCAGTCAAAATGGCTGGATTGTGAACGAATATATAATGTGTAAAAAAATTTGTTTAAAATTAATTTTTAATATTTTTTTAATATTATTTACAGTTACATAACAAGTTATTAATAAATATTAACAATAAAAAAATTATATGTCGTACAAAATTCTAAGAAATTGTGTCAATATATACATCATTGTTTTTCTAATTAAAATTAAAAGCAGTCAAAATGACTTTCTTAGGCAATCTAGTGCTAAGCGAAGTGTATTAAATATTTAAATTAGCATCTTAAAAAAAGGCAAGATTCAATGAAATATTTGCTTACTTTGACTATTTTGACATTCTTTGGAGAAGGCATGGTTAGGTAATGCAAGGTTAGGTAAAGCTGTGTATATTATTGTTAAAATGTTAATTTTAATTAAATTATCTCATTTTTATCCCTGCAAGGTTTTCAACCATTCTCTTTAATTTAAGCTTAATTTCGTTTTATTGAGGATTTTGCAGGTGCTTAGTTTCTTCTTAGAAGAAAATATTTTGTGTCAAAAAGGTTGAAGATCTAATTTATATATTTCATTCTTTGTCTGGTACGGAAAAATCAGTACCTGATAAGACTTTTATTTAGTTACCCTTTCCAACGTTTTCAACCATTTTCTTCAATTAAAGTTTAATTTCGTTTTATTCGGAATTTTATAGATATATTATAATTTATAGATATATTGGGAATTTTATGCCTACATATAATTTATAGATATATTAGGAATTTTATAGACTATTTGTCACTGATTTGAATTTTATTTATTTTATCTTGATAACTAGATTTCCGCAAAAGATTTTTTTACTGTAAATAATAACAGTCGAAACAAATTAAACAAGCACAAGATTAGGAAAAATGAGTAAGAGCTAATACTTTTCCACTGAAACAATTAACAATAATTGAAACAATTACAATGCTTTCAAACGTGTTTTTAAATTAGTGGAATTGAGAAGTAGAGAGCAAATAAACAGAAAAATATATACAGATTTTTTTCAGAATCATTTATGGGAAGAAAAATAATAACAATAATTATGTGTAATAATTTGACAAAGAGCCTTAAATTAACTCCACAAGAATGAAATTAAAATATAGTCTTATTTAAAATTAATAAAGAAAGAAAATAATCAATAAAGAAATAATCAATAAGTATTAATAAAGAAAAATTGATAATCAAAAGTAATCAATCGCAATTAATCACGAAATTAAAAGTTTCTAAATCATTAGGTAAGTATATGTCCACCATCTGTTACTTATCTCACTCACATACTAACGCCATAAACCTCAGTGCAATTTCCACGTATCCCTTTACTTTTTCTGGTAATTTTTTTCTACAGCTTTAATGATTTATATTGTACAAGAAATTTATTTTACATGAATATAGCAATTTCTTTCTTTAGTACTTGATAAAAATCACTCTTCTCCAAGTGGAATTGTTTATTGCTATTTTACCATCTGAATAATCGACAGAATCGATCGAAGAGCAATATTAGACGGCAATGACGTCAGAAATATATCTGTCGTAAAGTGGATATTCATTCATTTAAAGCTGCTTTCCTTGCGCTTGATTTTTTAAAAACAGTGTATGCATGATATATCTAAAAAAAATTAAAAGTATACTTAAATGGGTTAACTCCCTTTTGTGGGTCAATTTTACTAATTTCAAATCAATAAAGGTGCAGATGACTTTTCGATTATATTCTGGGTAAAAGTTCTTCAGGCTTCAGGTAAAAGTTCTTCAGGCTATTTTTCATTGGCTGAGTGGTCACATAAAATTATGATTTATGGTAAATTATTATGGTGAGCTATAGATCTAGCCTCACCTAACTTTATTTGAAGCTTTAAGTTTATTTAACACCTTTGGCAACGTTCAGTTGACAGCTGTAGTTGTAATTTGGTTTCTCATTTTTTCAGCTTTACTTTTCATTCTCGGCCGTCAGATCAGATGGTTGTGTACTTGTTTTAGTTAATAAATTTAGTTTATGTATGAATGATATTTATTTCTTTATGCATAACGCTCAATAGACCCTCGAAGACATGGGGGCCTAAAATTTTATACTATTTTTATAACTACTGGATGTTTATAACAGTTAATCGTGAATGTTAGTTGGCGTGAACCATGCAGATCTGGCTTGTCAAAGCCTGCAAAAATTGTTTGTAAGAAATTTCTTTTGGTTGGTAAACTTCTAACCAAATTATTGTTAATTCAAAACATTTAATAAATTTTAATTTGAATGCTATTTGTCTGCTTTAGTTAATAAGTTTATAGTATCTAACAAACACATAATAAATAAAGGCAGAAATACGATGAGAGGCCTTAATTTGGCAGAAATTACGCAATCAATCATTTACATGTTGACAAGAACTTAAATTTTCTAAATGTGTTCTCTTTTTAGAAAACTAAACTTTCTTAAAACTGCTTTGCAAGAAGTATTAACAAAAAAAAAGTACTATTAATTAAACTTTAATATCATTTTAATGTTACTTCCTTTCAAAACTAAAACGAGTTAATCATTAAACATGAAAGTGTTCAATTTCTTCAAGAATTAATCAATATGAAAGTATTTCACTTTAAACGTAAGAAGTGCCAAGCTAAACAAAAAATGAGAAACACCTAGCATTATCCATGAAAAGTTACTTTAATTTCCCTGGAGAATTTCAGGTAAATAAGAATGCACTATAATGTGGAAACTCCAAGAAACTGAGCAAATTAACTAAAAAAAAGAATGTATGAGTGAAATGATAAATAAGGTTTCCGCGCGATTTTTTTACTTCCTATTTCTCTTAACTATGAATATATAAATGTTTTTTCGAAGTCTTACAACGTAAATAAATTCATCTATCTTTTGCGAAAAGTAGAAAGAGCAAGAAAATTCTTATTTGCATTAGAAATTGCATTCGAAACTCAGATTAAATATGCTATTCGGAAAGTGCATTCTAGTATAAAAGAGAGCGTGCATTGTTGCTGAAATTGAAGTTTGCTTGAAAACTGATGAACCTGTCTGGTTTCTAAAGTACTTTTTTCTTCTTTTTTGGTATTGTATATTTATTACGATGACAATCATGTGTTGAAACATGTTTTCTCATTTAGTTGAAAACGAAGAAACTATTACTTATTTTTTTATTGGATTGATGCTTAGTTGTTTTAACTATTCTAAATATTTGTTCACAGAGATATTTGGAATTGAAGATGATTTAAAAACTGTTGGAAAACTTTTATAAATTATCCAGCTCGTTTGTCTCATTTATTTGCACTTGAAATAATTTATTTACATTCTTAAAACGCGTATACTTTTAAAATATGTTCAATGTGTATTTAGTTAGAAGAATAAATGTTTAAAAAACATCAAAACGTTAAGCTTATGATCTCGTATTTTGTAATAAAATTAAGAATAGATATTGCTACTAGTTTAATCATACTTAATGAAACATCCAAAATTTTTATGTAATACCGTAAATATTTTTAAATATTCCCCTTCAGTTATTGATTTTCAAAAAAATACGGAGAACACACTTGCCAAAAACATGGCTAGCCTTGATGCAAATAAATAAACAAAATGCAAAAAAAAAAAAAAAAATTTTAAATGAATTGATTTCTGTGAAGATAAGAGAATTTTGACGAAAACAATCAATCATTACTGTCATTATCGATTTCTTAGCAAACCGAAAACGTGCCTTAAAATATGTTTCGAAATACAAATACTTTGAAAGAATTTGATGATTTCATAAATCTGATGATAAGAAAGTAAATTTTATATTTTATATTTATAACAGTCAAATATTTATATTTATAACAGTCGTTAAACATCCAACTTAATTTTTGGATTTAATTGTAATTTTGAACCCGATCCAGAAGACTAGGAAACTCCTGGATCAACCATTGGGAGAAATTTTGCCTTCGTAGACGACTTTTGTGATGAAACTAACCCGCATTTGTGTTACATGGACAGAAAAATAACGAAAATCTCCCACGGTTAGCCTGATGGCAAAGGGACTCTGACCCTCCATGATTCATATACCTCTGAAGATATTTTAAGTTAGCATTGTGGTCGGTGCAAGCTCGGATGCGGAATTCGTATCGAATAGTGATCGCTGGGATTCGAACCCGATTCACCTCATTGGAAGGCGAACACTCTATCCCCATAGCCATCACGGCTCGCTAAGACCAAATAGAATTTTTCAAGAAATAGTTAACCAAATCAAGTGAAACTTAATATATACATCAAAGTATGACAGAAATGATAGCAAAGAGATAACGCCATGAAACTGAGATTATAAGTTAACGGGCATTACAGAATTTCTTCCCCTAAAATGATGGATTAAATTTCACTTGTGGCGGGGTTAATATGGAGA